AATTTACTTCCTCTTAAAGAGAATTTTTAATTTTTACAGTTTATTTGGGGCAGTTTATTTATACCTAAAGGAATATTTTACCCAATATGACAGAAAACCAAAACCAAAACCTTCATTACTAAGAAATAATTGCATCAAGTAGTGTAATTTATGGTGGCGAGGATCTGACCTTTCCTATGAAGCCTGCCTTCAATAATAAAAATTAAAAGGCAGAGATCTATTTCCCTATACCTGAACTCTCAGTCTTCTTCTCAATCCTTTTCTATTGTATTTCATATGTACGCCTCCCTTTCAACATGGAAGATCAGTAATCTTTCTCACACATTCTGTCTATTTTACTCAACAGTTCTTATAATTATGTATCAGTTCATTGATTCTTATTTCTTCAAATCAGGTTTATTTTCAGAACATTTAGAAACTTAATCCCTATCATTTCATTTTAAGATGAACATCAACCAGCTACTTGCTAAGTCCAGTTGACATTTGTTAACAAACTAGAACTCTGGCAACAAACAGTAATATTTTCTTCTCTGGTATTCTTGAAGCACATACAGTTCATTTCTGTCATGCATCTGGTTTTTCTTCTCTAATTTATCTTTCTTAGTTAATTCTGTGTATTTCCATATGCATACATATGTACACATGACTAGTATTGTAAAATTTATAATAGATGCTAAATGGAAACTAGCAGGATACAAAATTATGCACTATATGTATAGATTGTAAAACAAAGATAATATCAATTGTGTTTGGCTTTGATTTTTTGCATTATATTTTTGAAGTGAAAATAAAAGTATACATTTTCATATAAATTAACATTTTAATAAATAAAACATTGCTATTTTCTTCCTACCTATAGTAATAATCTTGGAATAAAGTTGAGGCATATATAAACCACATTTTTAGAATGCGATTTTATATGAACTATTTTTATAATGTAGTATTAAATGGGACAAGATATGTTAAATGAAGATTATATGTACAAATAGATGAATGCACACAAATGTATAGACTACTATTAGGAGAAGAGATGTTGACTGTTAAGTACAGTATCTTGCATTTAAGACATCAACGATATCTTAAGGATGACCTCAAAATATCTCACCTAAGAAAAAGTCTAATTATATATCAGAAATATTTACAATGAAAAGTTTTTTTTCCTATTTGACATTTCTGGATTATTTTTATAAGAAAACATGTAAAGATGAAGATAAGCATCTATATAAAAGCAGAACTATATCACAGTAACTATCATAGTTATTCTCAGAACTAGTCTTTCCATCTTTCCACTAAAGTGCAAGGTTCTTATATTAGAAAATATTTTCTATTAGATATGCACGTTATTAAGCACAACACCTCACTCATCACAAGTAATATTTCCAAAGATATATTAAATGATCAGATACATATTCTCAAAAGAAAATAATGTGTGCCTTTCATCACGTCTGGTACTTTTTAATGGTTAATGATGCTTAATTTTGATGTGTTCTTTCCTCTTCTAATGTCTCTGCAATTAGGACTTGATGTTTTCAAAAAGAGAAGCCATCACTAGATAATTTGCAACAATTAAGAGAAGCTTAAATAAAGGTAGTTTCTGTCATGAATAATTTCCCTTTTAGGAAATATATCTCATGAGGTGAGTTGAAGTCATCGATCCCATAGTAGAGGAGTTCTTAGAACAGTCTCATTGGATATTCCTTTTAATTCAATCTTTCTTGAACCAGTACTTGAACTGAATTTAGGGTAGTTGGGCTGGAGCGATAGCACAGCGGGTAGGGCGTTTGTCTTACATGCAGCCACAGCAGACACGGCCGACCCGAGTTTGATTCCTCCACCCCTCTTGGAGAGCCAGGTAAGCTACCGAGAGTATCTCACACATACGGCAAAGCCTGGCAAGCTCCTCGTGACATATTCGATATGTCAAAAACAGTAACAACACATCTCACAATGGAGACATTACTGGTACCCACTCGAGTGAGTCAAAGAAAAATAGGAGGGCAGTGGCAGTGACAGTTCCTAAAAGTGATGGTCTATTTTTTCATACTCATTCTATCATTGAGCCTGATTAGGCTAGCAGCCAATGAGTTTCTCAAAATTGAGTTTCTAAATATTTCTGTAAATCATTTTCAGTCCTATGTTATTCTTTTCACCCAAGTAGGCAATGAGACAGTTATCAACAATGACTTTACAAGAAAAAAACCAAGTGATTCTTTTAGCTGGGTTCTAAGAAATACTAATTTTCAGTGTCTTTTGCAAAAATGCAGGCGATCTTTAAAAAATATATAGCTTAGAATAGTAAAGACTTAAGTTCTAACCAATAAAAATTTTGCAATCTATTTAGAAATGTATAAGGTAAATAGGATTTTATCTGGTGAATTTAACACAAATAGACCCTATTACTAGTCTCCAAATGTTGACAAATTCTTTCAGTTTCTTAAATTAAAAAGTGAAGGCACAATGTACTTATGGGTAAGAAATCCATTAAGGAGACTATAATGCTAACACAGATGTTTAGAACTTATCAGTTCAACTAAATTGTTTTCCCTAGGAAATAATTCACAGTTTGAGTTCTCTGAGTGATGCAATGCCCAATTAAAAAGATACATTCAACTTTATGAATCTTGAGATATTGTTTATTAGGTAACAATACAATTTTAAAGTTAAAGGCTTACTGCTATATTTTCTAGCATTTATTTGATTGTTTAAAGAATAAGGGTTGTTTTATCGGTCTTTTTAGAAAATAGGCTAATGATTATACACTTTGAAAAACTATTATTGAAAAATATGGGCTAGGAATTTATTTGGATTAATATTAATTGAACAGAAAATTCAAAGTAGTCTCCCCTGTTGACTTATAATCACGTATACATAAATGGATAATTTTTAGCACATCAAATGTGTGGTCAAAATAAAATTATTTTATAATATTGAGCAGTAGTCATTCATTATCCTTCTTTATTCTCTAGTTACAACTAAACTTGCTTTTCACTCAGTAATTTATACAAGTTATATTAATATTTCCTAGGGTAGGTTTAATTCATGATTGACAAAGAACAGTTAACCTAAAAAGATTAAAGGATTTTTGTCCTAATAGAATTTGTTTTGTAAAACATATATGCAATAATTCTCTGTAAATTCAAATAAAATATATTTAATGTATTATGTACGAAGTGCTTTAGGAGACATTTTTAATGATGCTATTAACAATATCATTGAATTATATATCCCTTATAATTACAAAGTAATTTTATACATTCTATCCTACATTTCCAAAACTACTATTTTAAGGTAAGGTAAAGAGATTGAGAAGCAGGTGTTTCATTATGTATAAATAGCAGAAACCAAGGTTTTGGCCTCCAGCTGGGTCATATTTGTCATACTCTTCCAGTACTCTTCTAATGGGATAAACTACTATCACATCTAGGGTCTGTCTAAATATGAATTTCAATGTATTTGTTATTGTTTATTGAAATATGTGCAAGAAAACCATTGAATGACCAAATTTTATGATATGCACACAGTCTTCTTTATAGACCAATGATAGTAGAGTGCGAGGGGTCTCACTAATCCACATTTACTTTCCATCACATCAATTTTACTAGCCATGACTAGTCTTACCTATGGGTAGCAAGAATAGGAGTTATGCAAAACCTCTCATTATAAATCTGCCTAAATAAGCTTTCAAGTTTATCATGGAAACAGAAATAGAACAGAGGATACATCTGTTTTAAAAGCTTTTATCTAGTGCTTTAAAATACTTAGATGTTAGCAAAAGCACATTTTAAATAAGATTTTAGATAACCAAAAATTACATGTAATCTTAATTGGATCTATATGTAAGAAAATAGATAGATATAAGTTATAAATATTAGTTTAACACAGCAAGAAACTTGTCTAGGGATAAAGTCTAATAAATACAAGTTGATATTTAAAATTCCTAAAATTTATAAGCTAGCTTAAATGGCTCCCTTTACTTTTTATTAGAATTAGTGTTAATACCAATATCTAAAATCTAAATCTAAACAATATGTGAATTTTAACCAACTGTAATAGAAAAGGCAGAAAAATTAATACCAATCATACACAATATCAACTACACTAGTACACTAGTAACTGTGAAGTTTGGTATTAGCAGTGGTCACTTTATTATTTAAGCTATGGTTAGCAGTGGTAGTACTAACATTTGATCCCAGAATGTTAATCTATGTACCTCTGGAGAGAAAACAAATTAAATTAGATATAGAATAAGCTATAAACGTATTTCCATAGCTTTGAAAAGAATACAGTTTTATCAGTCAGTATAAGCTACAGTTCTAAATTTTAATTATAGATCAATTTTTTTAAACTTCACAGGCTCTCAAGACAGAAAAGCTTATGCTTTGATTCTGAAATTTATTTATGATAAATTTTGCTAATTGTTCATTACATTGATAACTTATCTCCATCTATATTCTTACATATAGATCCAATTAAGATTACATATAACTTATGGTTATCTAAAATCATGTTCTGCATGATATCAAATACAATTAAAAATATTTCACTGGGGAAATGTGGGGAAGACTATATATAGATTATACTATATCAGATACTTGTGAACACAAGTCATAAAAATTCAATATAAAGCAATAATATTTTCACATGGTAAAATATTTTTGGCTTTTCATATAATTTCACAAAAATATCTATTAAAATGATATTTGGCATTAAATTATTTGTATTTCATTGTGAGCTAACCATTTTTCCTTGTTGGATAATCTTTCTAAGGAAATTAAGATTTCATGTCTAAGGTGAGATGAATCTACTAAATAAGCATGTATGTAATGGATGCCTTAAATAGTTTACTTCTTTTTAATCTTCAGCAATCCATTTCAACCTGTCAAGAGTGTTGAACTATGTTCTTAAGCCCCCAAAAATTCTATCAAAAACAGCCGATACAGAGAACATTTTTATCATAACACTTAAAATCAGGATTAAGGTGAAAGATAAAATCTACTTACTTTGCTTTAGCTTCTGCATCTTCATATGCCTTATTAGAAACATCATCCAAACCTCCAATCAAATGCTTGAATGAGCTGTCAGAAAAAGATAGTAATTAAGACAAATTTTCTATGAAGTTGTAACGACAGCTTTGTTAATACTATATTGAAGCGAGCTGAGAAGATGTGAATAAAATGAATTTTAAAACACTTAATAGGAGACATATTAAGGAACTGATATATCAAATAGACATGAACTCTCTGAGAGCAAGGTTCTCCTCTCGTTACCTCTCGTCCCTACCACTCTATTTTTTGGAGAGAGGGAAACCCAGTGTTGCACAGGGCTCACTCCTGGCTCTCCACTGAGGGAGAACTCCTGTGGTGCTCAGGAGACTATATGGGGTACTGAGGGTCGCATGCAAGGCAAGCTCCCAACCGACTGTACTAAGTTCCCAACACCTAGAACCATGTGTAACCAAGTCAAACATATTCAAAGAACTGGGCGGAATATAATATGTGACATGTTAATGGATGCATATGAGAAAGTGAATGAGTCAATCACAATACTGAAATAGCAAGATCCACTAATTAAATGCCAGGTACAATTACTTCCTTTGAATATATTTATGGAGCTGGAGCGATAGCACAGTGGAAAGGCGTTTGCCTTGCACGCGGCAGACCCGGTTGGCCCAGGTTCGATTCCTCCGCCCCTCTCGGAGATCCTAGCAAGCTACCGAGAATATCTCACCCTAGCAGCAAAGCTTGGCAAGCTACCTGTGACGGGTTCATACTGACTGATATTCCAAACACAGTAACAATAAGCCTCACAATGGAGACTTTATTGGGTCCGCTTGAGCAAATCGATGAACAATGGGAGGACAGTGCTACAGAATATATTTATATTTCAGTTTTCAAGCACACTAAATCACAAGCATTATCTCTACTAAAATAAACATCTTCAAAGACAAAGTATAGAATAACAATTAAGAAACTTATAAAAAAAATCAACTCATTTTGAAGGTGTAAAGAAACTGACTTAACCATAAAGAGGAAGAAGACCAATGCAACTGTAAAACCAAAACTAGTCAATATTCTATGCAATTAGAACTGTATTTAGGTATAATCTTTATAGTGTAAATTGTTCTATAATACGTCTGTAGTATAAAATAATGAAAAAATACACAGGAGTTAGTACAGAGGGCAGAGTTTTTGCTTTGCGCGCAGTCAAACGGTTTGATCCCTGGCACCGCACAAGGTCATGCAGCTCCATCACAGGACATCCCTGAGAACAGAACCTCAGCACTCAGCCCTGACACTACAGGTGTCTCTCCGCACTCCTCCCTCCCTCCATCCCCCGCCGCCACACACCCACACTACCCTTCCATAAACATACCATCACGTCACTTGAAAATAACTAAATATGGGGGCTGGACAGATAGTACCGCTGGTAGGGCACTTCCCTTGCTGTCAATCCAGGTCAATCCTGGGTCAATCCAGGTTCGCACCCACACTCCATATGGTCTTCTGAGCACTGCCAGAAATAATTTCTGAGTGTAGAGCAAGGAGTGGCCTTAAAACAAAAACTGAGTTTCGTTTGGTGTGGCCCACAAACAAAAACAAGAAAAATAACGACTGCAACCTTACACAGGTAACTTTATTACTAATATATATATACATATATATACATATACATATATATACATATATATATATATATACTTGGTTTGGGGCCACCTGCAGTGGTGCTCAGGGGTTACTTCTGAGTCTGAGCTCAGGAATCACTCATGGTGGGCTCATGGATGCTGGGGGATGAATCCCAATTGACTGCATGCAATGCAAATGCTCTACCTGCTGTGCTATCACTCTAGCCCCAAACTTTTAGCACTGTAGCTCTGTCCTCCCATTGTTCATTGATTTCCTGGAGCGGGCCCAGTAACATCTCCATTGTGACACTTGTTACTGTGTTTGGCATATCAAATACGTCACGGGAGCTTGCCAGGCACTGCCATTCAGGTGAGATACTCTCGGTACCTTTCTGGGCTCTCTTGAGAGGGGTGGAGGAATCGAACCCAGTTCGGTCTGGTCGGCACCCTACCGCTGTGCTATCACTCCACCCAATATAGTATATTTACCATGTTTTGTTAACCACTAGACAGAATGAGGAAACAAAAGTAAAATCTGTATTCAAAAGTTAAAAGTTCACATAAAAGTATTAATATGCTATATATTATTCCTTGGGGCTGGAGCGATAGCCCAGCAGGTAGGGCGTTTGCCTTGCATGCAGCCAACATGCCCAACCCGAGTTCGATTCCTCCGCTCCTCTCGGAGAGCCCTGCAAGCTACCGAGAGTATCTCGCCCGCACGGCAGAGCCTGGCAAGCTCCCGGTGATGGATTTGATATGCCAAACACAGTACAAGTCTCACAATGTTACTGGGCCTGCTTGAGCAAGTCGATGAACAATGGCAGGATAGTGACAGTGAGATATTATTCCATGTACTTTGATTATAATATTTTAATAGTTATAATGATTCTATGAGTTATCTCCATTTATATTTAGTATCCTCCAATGAAGATACTAAGGAATGAAAGGTGCAGAGAGAGTATTATAAAAGTTAACAATCATATCTAGTCACTTTCTTTACACTCTTAAGACAAATAGGAGCTCCAATGTAAAAGGATAAGTTTTTTTTTTTTTGGTCTGTCTCTTTTTTAAAAAATTTTTATTAGTGAAACACCATGAGGTACAGTTTTTGTGCTTGGGTTTCAGTCATACAATGATCGAGTACCCATCCCTCCATCAGTGCCCATCAGTGCCCATTCTCCACCACCACTATTCCCAGTTTTGAAGGTAACTATCAAGTACTTATTTGGATATAGCTGAGATATGAAGAATTTTAAAGAGCATAAGAAATAACTTAATGCAAATCCTCTGTAAATATAGTACATACACATGATGTTATAAGTGAGTACTAAACAATAAAACAAGTACTGTCAGAACCTGAAACTTTTAAGATGCTTGCTCATATAGATTTAAATATTGCCTATGGGGTCAGACCTTACAAGGTTTTAGGCCCTTCATATGCAGAGAGTTCACAGAGGCATAGAATATGGTCCCTGAGCAACGTTAGGAGTGATTTCTGAGCACCTCTAGGTGTGGCTCTCAAATCAAAATAAATATCACTTACTCACTGCCTCATACATTTTGGAAGAAAGCTAATGTTGACAATTTTGAATCCTTACTGAACTGAACGGAGCAATGGCTTTCTCAGACTTCAAGTTGATTTTACTGTGGGACAGTTTAACTACAATGGTGAATTAGATGCAAAATGTATTTAGCAACTCCTGAGCATAGACTGGTATGGCCCCCCAAACAAACAAACAAAAGCAATATTTAATATCAACAATTAATGAGGTTTTAATTTGTTTTGTTTCGGGTTTGGGGTCATACCGAGAGGTGCCCAGAGCTGAATCCTGACTCTGTGCTCAGGGATCACTCTTGGCAGGGCTCAGGGGATCAAATGGGTTGCTGGGGATCGAACCTGGGTCAGGCACATGCAAGGCAAGAGTCCTCCCCATTGGACTATCACTACGGCTTCAATATTAATAACTGAGAATGGTTGAGTCATAGACTATTTTAAAGGTTAATGCAAATTTAGACATAGAGAATTTAAATTATTTATCCAAAATCATGGAGTTCAGTAACATGCTCAGACTATAATACTACACCCTAACACTTATTCTAATTCTTTACAGTACTTAAATATATTTAGAAAGACCAGATGAACATGTGAAAAGATATTGGCAGACAGAAACATAGAGCATAATAATGTAAAACTAAAATAAAATAGCTATTAAAATCAACCTTTTTCCAAAGACATTCAGACATATTAAGAAACTACATTTTTAGGTGTTTTGTTTTGCAGTGCAGGGATTGAACCCAGGGCTTCACACATTCAAGGCAAGAATTACTTCCCTAGTCCAATAAATTTTATTTTCAGGTATCTAAAACTTAACTAAGCATTTAATTAAGTTCTATGCTCAGTGCTCACTTCTGGAAGGGGACCACAATGAGTATAAGCATCTTACCCACTGTACTATCACTCCAGCCTCATATTATACTGAGCATTTAAATAGCTAGAAAAAAGTCATTACCTTGTATCTATTTGACTCCTCAAATAGAATAATACACCAAATAGAGAGCAGTAATGAAAAATTTAATAATGAAGTTTTCTTTAAATTGAGAAACTGTGTTCATCCTATTTGGCTACATTGTAACTCAACAGATCACATTTTGAAAATACAGTTTCTATTAGCAAAACACATAAAAGAAAAGTATAAAACTAGTGAGGCCACACTGAATTTAAAATGAGAAGCCACTTCTAATCAGAGCAATGAGTTTAAAAGTAAATTGACCCTAACTGAAAAATTAAACCTGGTGATAAGCTGTTTATATATTTTTTCATTTACTTTTAGTCCCATTTTATAACCTTTAAAAATAGTAAGCACATTTCTGAAGTATCTTTTTTTTGACTGGGAGTTGGCTTCCTAAGCATTGGTGAGGAGGTACAAGGACCCTATCAAATATTCTCAATCATCTGGGCGAGTGGTTCAAAGCAAGGGTCAGATGCTATTTTGGCCCATAGTATCAGATATACCTGGGTCACCCAGTCCATGCTGCAGGCCTCAAGATTCATACCCAGTGCTTCCTGCACATTGCCTGGGTTGTACAGTGATGATGCGAGAGGGACTATGTGGTGCTAGGAATGAAACCTAGGTCAGAAGCCTACTAGGTCTGATTCCTAAACACTGCACTATGTCCCAACACACGAAGCATGTATTTTTAGTATCATCTTCAATCCCCTTGTTTCAAAACATTAATTTTGTTTATGTTTCTAACAACCTAATTTGTATTACATCTGCACTGAAGCCAAAGACAAAACAAAATGATATGTTTTTATATAAAATATCTTCATATGATAGAATAGTTTAAGAATTATATTCCTTTTAAAATGGAGAAATGAAATTAATTTAGAATAAATTTATTTTTATTGTGTAAAAAGTTTTAAAACAAAAAAATAGGAATCATGCATAATTC